CTTCATCTCGTTGGCGGCGACTTCAACATTACGCTAGACGATGACCTGGATGCACTTGCACCCTCACCCGGCAAGCGTAGAGGCAGGCACGAGCTCGGCCGTTGGCTGACTGCCTTAGACGTCGTTGATATCTATCGACAAGTTTACCTAACTCTTCGTTCTTTCACCAGACCGACTGGCACGACACGCCTAGACTACGTCGTCTTCGTTTCGTCGCACTTTACCGCAACACCGTACACCATCGCTCGGCACGTTCATGACATGACACGATCGGACCACTCGGCTGACGTTGTCCATTTAGAAGATATGTTGACGGTGGGGAAGGGCCATGGCACACTCCTCCGTGGCCCTTGAGCTTCCAGAGGCAATCACCGCCGTACATGAACATCTCGAAAACTTTCTCGAGGAGGCGTCCCTTGATAAAGACGTCGGCCATTTGTATGACGGCATGATCTTCTCGCTCCGGCGCACATTGAAGATCCTGCACAAGGCACGTGTGGCTGTCGACCAAGCGCAGCTCGAGGGGCTCAAGATACAGCTGGCACAAGCGGCATACGATCTTCAGCACCACCCGTCCGAGGTCCACGTCATGCACATGCAGCACATCAAAGCACAGCTCAAGCAGTACCATGCGGCACGCAGCAAGTTCAAGACCGAAGAACAAATGCACAAGTTCCTTGCGGAGAACTCGCGCTGTACAACAACGCACCTCAAGCCACCGACACCTCGTCAGCTTCACCGGCCAGCCATGACGGTCATGTACAACGCCTCCGGCCAGCGTCACGTGACCCAACACGGCATTGAGAGTACCCTACACGCCTTCTACACGAACTCGTACGCAGCTGCCTCCTGATGACGCACTCGAAGCTTTTCTTCATAACCTCATCGACCGACGGCTTCCAATAGAACTATCTCAGAGACTAGCAGCACCGCTCGTTGCTTCGGAGTTCTACAATGCAATTATGAGCTCGGCAAGGGGAAGAGCGCCTGGTTCCAACGCGCTGCCATACAAGGTTCTTCGGCTGGAACCAACGAAATGGGCCCTCTCATTCGAGCTGATTTTCAACCACCAGCTCGGCTCGTCCTCTACGTTACAAGCATGCAGAAGCTTAGCACGACCATCCTCTTACACAAGAAGGGAGATCGTGACGTCGCGGACAACTACCGGCTGATCAGTCTCATCAACACGGGATGTCAAGGTGCTCGCCAAGGGGCTGGCCAACCGAATTCAAAACTGCACCGACTTTCTCGTCAACAACGATCAAACGGGCTTCATTAATGGGCGCGATGTTTGTCAAGTCACGATCTTGACAAACATCCAGCGTCTCGAAGACAATTTGGAATACATGCACCGACACGCACCTGCAGGAGTCGTGGCACTACTCGATTTCGAGAAGGCGCTCGACCGCGTTGACCACCGATATCTCCAAAATGTTTTGAAGGCCATGGGGATGCCTCAAGCGTTTCTACGTGTGATCAAGTGTCTCTACGCGGGCCGCGCATCACGATCATCAACGGACGCCTGTCGCAACCGTTAAAGATTGGCCATGGGGTGCTGAAGGAGATCCGCTGTCGCCGCTATTGTTCGTGCTCTCGCACGAGCCCATGTGCCAGCTGCTTCGCCGACAAACGCAATTGGGGCTCACGCTTGGCAATACAGCACACGTCGTCAGCTGCTTTGCGGATGATACGCAGCTCATCGCCCGAGATCCCGTAGCGCACATCACGCAACTCGAGCGCATCGAATCGTTCTGCGCATTTTCTGGGTTCAAGCTCAACCGCAACGCCCGAGATCCCGCAGCGCACATCACGCAACTCGAGCTCATCGAATCGTTCTGCGCATTTTCTGGGTTCAAGCTCAACCGCAACGCCCGAGATCCCGCAGCGCACATCACGCAACTCGAGCTCATCGAATCGTTCTGCGCATTTTCTGGGTTCAAGCTCAACCGCAACAAGACAACATTGCTCACGTACGGATCTCTGGAGCCGAGGTTTCCAGGACACCCAGCCACGCCAGTAGCGCCCGCGAAAGCGCTAAGTATCCTAGTGGCGCCGGGGATGCTATCGATGTCGCGCTTCGATCACGTGCTCGCCAAATTCATAAATCGGTTCGAGCTCTGGTCGCACCAAACGCGATCTCTTGTCGGCAAGGGTCATTTTTCAGACAGTATGTCTGCCGGTACTCTAGTACCAGTTGACTTGGCTCCTGCCCGACAAGCATCAAGCGCCCCTCATCGATCGTCTCATGCTTCAGTTCCTTCACGATGAGCCAAACTCGTGGACGCGAACGAGGCATCTGCGCCAATTTAGCCAAGCTCTCGACTTAATGGCCAAACGTCACGGTGGCCTCGGCCTCTCGCATTAGTTTACGACCACTGAACCTTGAGCATCTGCTCGACGTTGGTGCGATTTCTCCAGGCATGGCTCGTCAACCCTCTTGAGCCACCTCCGTGGACTGCAACCAGCACAGCGCTTTTAACTGCAGCCTACGAGCCGTGGAGACCGCTTGGAGACCCGCTGCAAGCTGTTTTGAGTCCGCGCCTTGTTTGTCTGCAAGGCGTCTTCCTTTCGGGAAGCAATGCAAAATCCAAACTGAGTTACTTCTCATTACCTTCCTAGTCAGTTCACTTCGTTCCCCTCAATACAATAGCAACTTGCCAGGACGCCCAGACTCCAGGACGACGATCGATAACCGGATGGTTATCTGAACAGATCGTCCCGTCGTAAATCGTCCCGT